AACCAACCAAAATTTATCTTCGGTATCCCCCTCTTCTCTTTGTCTAAAATCTATAAGAGTCTCCACTGTCCCTTACTCTGGGCTCTCAGCACGGATCCATTGAGTTGGTGAGGTCTGAGAGCCCAAGCTTAAGCCCCAATAAACCATAAACCTTTGTTTTTGCATTTTGGTGTGTTGGGTCCTTGGTGGTCTTTTTGGGGTCCAGTGGATGAGGTACAACAACATGTGTGTGTATTTGTGTATGGGTATGTATACATGAGTGCTGGTGCCTGCAAAGCCCAGAGATATTGAATCCCCTGGGACTGGAGTTATAGCCAGTTTTGAGCCAGATGTGGGTGCTGGGTACTGAACTTGGGTTTTCTGCAAGAGCATTGTGTGCTGTTAATCCCTGAGCTATCTCTAGCCCCTTATTTTATTTTTATTTTCTGTGTATGTTTTGCCTGCATGTATGTAAGTGTATGTGAGTGTAAGTGTAAGTTTAAATATATGTATGTGTACACAGTGCCTGTAGAAGCCAGAAGAGAGCATCAGATCCCCTGGAATTGGAGTTATTGACCTGACAGTTGTTACAGTTGTTAGGCTCTATGTGGTTGCTGGGGACTGAATGAGTCCTCTGCCAGTGAGTGCTCTTAACCACTGAGCTACCTCTTCAGTCCCTGCAGTATTTCTCATTGTGTTGAGAGACTTAAATTTCATAGGCACACATACTGCGCCCCAAAAAGGTCTTTCCTTTTCAGTTTCTCTTAATCCTTTTGATAACTTGCATTCTCTTGAAAGTTCGTAGCAGGAGTTCTTTAGCATGTTATGTTTGGCATAAGCCTTTTGAATGGAGAGAAGCTCAGAGCCTTTAATAGACAAAAGACAAAACATAATTCCTTTTTTTTTTTTTTTTTGTCTTTTTGAGACAGGGTCTCCCTGTAGCCCCAGCTGTCCTGGAACTCACTATGTAGACCAGGCTGGCCTCAAACTCACAAAGATCTGCGTGCCTCTGCCTCCCAAGTGCTGCGATTAAAGGCGTGCACACTGGGCCTCCTTTTGTTTTTCTTTAGACTTAGTTTCACTATAAGCTTCTATATCAAGGAATAGTAACTTCTACTGATGGTAGTTGTGAACATTTAGAGCCAGGCATTGGAAGCACATACGTATAATGCCAGTTCTTGGGAGGCAGAAGCAGTATTGCCTAGTTTGACATCAGACTGGGTTACATATTAAGCTCCAGGCCAGCAGGAGCTATTTAGTCTCTGTCTAAAAAAAAAAAAATCTTAAAACTTACAGCATTCCTATACATAAGTACCGTTGACAAGAATCACAAAAATTTGGTTCTGCTTTTTGTATTGCGGGGACTTTAAGATGACGGGGAACGACAGTGGGAGGGGAATTTTATTTTTTGTACTCTGCTGGACAGTTTAATTTTTGTTTGGTTGGCTTTTTTGGTTTGTTTGGTTGCTTGGTTGGTTGGTTTTTGTTTGAGACAGGGTGTTCCTGTAGTCACAACTAGCCTAGATTCGCTATGGAGACCAGGCTGGCCTGGAACTCACAGAGATCAACCTGCTCCTGCCTCTTGAGTGCTGGGATTGAGTGCGCCACCACACCCAGCTCAATTTAAATTTTGTAGTCCAAAACAGAGACAAACTCGTTATTGAGAAGAACTTTAGGGCACAGCAGGGGAAGTATGCCAAAATCCATGGAGGTCTTAAATGAAATTTTATTTATTTTATTTTTTCGTCTTTTTTGAGAAAGGGTCTTCTTGTAGCCTCAGCTGTCCTGGAACTCACCATGTAGACCAGGCTGGCCTCAAACTCACAAAGATTCGCCTGCCTCTGCCTCCCAAGTGATGGGATTAAACGCGTGCGCCACCACGCCCGGCATAAGTGAAATTTTAAAAAAGTGTCAAAAAAATTATTGTGGAGCCAGGCTCATGCCTGAAATCCTAGCACTCTAGAGAAGGCCAGGAGGGGATCACTGCAAATTCGAAGCCAGTCTGATCTATAAAGCGAGTTAGCAGACCAGCTAGGGCTACACTGCCAACCCCTGTCTCAAAAAAAAAAAAACAGAACACAACAAAAAAAAAACCCCAAGGTCTGGCTGGGAGGTGGAGTTTATAGTCGCAATTACAGTCTCGGCTCCTGCTCTCTGCACGACCCAGCCCCATGGCCCCCTGGCCCCCTGGCCCCGCCCCATCACCTTCAGGCTCCGCCCCAAACCAGAGGCTCTGCAGACGTCTGCACAGAGGCTCACGGCGGCCATTTCTTGTTTCATGTCTGACAGACACCACGTCGCGAGTGCGCCCGCCTGTCCGGGAGCGCGCACGCACGCGTCGCTAGCGTCCAGCCCAGTGACCCGGAGGCTACGAGTTGCAGTTGCTTAGAGTCCTGAGGTAATGCCCCGGGAGGCTGCTGGCCGGGAGGCGGCGGAGGAGCCGAGCGTCGCGGAGGCGATGGAGGCCGAGCGGCCGCGGCCCGTGCTCCGCTCCGTGAACTCGCGCGAGCCCTCTCAGGTCATCTTCTGCAACCGCAGCCCGCGCGTCGTTTTGCCTGTGTGGCTCAACTTCGACGGCGAGCCGCAGCCTTACCCGACGCTGCCTCCCGGCACTGGCCGCCGCATCCACAGCTACCGAGGTACGAACCGGCCGCGCCCTAGGCCGCAAGCCTCGGTGCCGGGGTGCCCAGCAAAGCCAAGCCCGCGGGGTCGCTACCACTCCCTCCCACGATGGGGCCCCAGAGGCCGTACAGGCCCGGTGAAGTCTTCAAAGCTCCAACTACTTCGCATTTGAGGGCGCTTTCCCTAGTGCATTTATCCGGAGAAATGCCCGATCCCTACCCGATGTTCCCAATTGGCGGGTTCCGCATAAGGTCCCTGTTTTTTTCCTTTTAAAAGTTTTTAAAATTTAGTCGTTTTACCAGGCGTGGTGATGCATGCCTTTAATCCCAGTAAAAGACTTAGGAGGTAGAGGCAGTTGGATCTCTGAGATCGATGCCAGCCTGGGCTACATGGTGAGTTCCAGGCCAGCTGGAGCTACAGTGAGACCCTGTCTCAAAAAGACTAAAATATATATATTTATGTATTTAGATTAATTTTTATTGTATAGAAGTTTTGCCAGCATGTAAGTGTACCTGTGGGTGCAGTGCTCATGGAGACCAGACGAGGGCGTTGGATCCCCTGGAAATGGAGTTTCCGATGGTGGTTGGCTGCGATGTGGGTACTGGAACTGAACCTAGGCCGCCTGCAAGAGCAGCCAGTGGTCTTCACTGCTTAAACTTGGTGGTGACTACCTGGACGGGCATAGGCAAGTACATGAACAGACAAAAGCCAGTCAATGTCACAGTGGCTAGGTTAGAAACGGGCTCAGTGGGTTGTGGCATCAAGGACCAGGCACTGCTCAGCATGGGGAGAGTGGGTGTGCATACATAACCGAGCACCCCCTCTCCAAAGAAAGGGAGCAGGGTGCACAGAGTCAGCCTAGATAGGTGTTGGGGGTTATAGATAGGGAACCACCAGTCCTGAGTTAGACTCTTGGCTGAGTATGGGTATGAGATTGTGAGAGAGGAAGTTCAAAAGGTGATTTTTTTTAATCCCTAGAAAAATAGGGCTATTTGACATTGCCAAATTTCCATATTTAAGAACATACCCCGGGGCCAGGTGTGGTGACCCATGCCTTTAATTCCAGCACTCAGGAGGCAGAGGCAGATCTCTGAGTTTGAGGCCAGCCAGTGCTACAGGGAGACCCTGTCTCAAGAAAATCAAAACCAGGGCCGGAGAGATGGCTCAGGGGTTAAGAACAAATACTGGGTAAGAGGCAATACCCTGCTCCACCTGAGGCAGCTCACAGCCTCCAGTAATTCCAGCTCCAGCGTGTCTGTCACCCTCTTTTGGTATCCATGCGTACCTGCACTTTTGTGCACACACCCATACAGAGACACATATACATGTAATTAAAATAAAATCTTAGAAAAAACAAAACAATAGGGTGTGGAAATGCCTTTAATCCCTCAGGAAGCTCAGGCAGGTAAATCTCTGAGTTCACTCCAGCCTGGAGGGCCAGCCTCGTCTACTACATGTTCCAGGCTAGCCAGGGCTATAATGAGACTCTGTCTCACAATTAGAAAAACAACAAAAAAGAAAACAAAACCAACCAAATAAGCAACAATAAAGCCCCTGTGGGGGCTGAAGAGATTTGGCTTGGTTAAGAGCACTGGCTGCTTTTGTAGAGGACCCAGTTTCGGTTTCTAGTAGGCACATGACTGCTAACAACCATCTTTAACTCAAGTTTCAGGGGATCTGATGCCTTCTTATGACTTCCATGGGCATTGTACAATACAGGTGCACTTAACATATATGCAGGCAAAACACAAAGTAAAAATAATAAAAACAAAATAAAACAATTTACTGGGGCTGGAGAGATGGCTCAGCGGTTAAGAGCACTGACTACTCTTGCAGAGGACCCAGGTTCAATTCTCAGCACCCACATGGTGGCTTTAAACCATCCTTAACTCCAGTTCCAGGGGAATCTGATGCCCTCTTCTGACCTGTGGCATTGCATGACATGACACAGGTGTACTCACATACATTCAGGCAGTATACTCATACAGAAAACAAAACAAAAACAAAAAAACCCAATTTACCAGTTTAGGACTAGGCATATATAGTTAGTACTAAAGCATTTTCTTAGCATATGGGAGGTCCTGGGTTCAGTCCCCAGTATTGGCAAAGAAAGTTTTATGTCCTCTGTATCAGTGATATATTCTGAGGCACTCTTTCTCTTTAAATAGTCTAGTCTCTGAGGGTTTACCTCCTTTCCTCTGCATGTGCTCCACCCTCTTATGCATGGGATGTATTTTTATGTGTAGGAATGTTAAGTACACCCATGCATGCAATATTGTTGGAGGCCAGAAGAGGGTGTCAGATCCCCTGGAACTAGAGTTACAGATGGTTGTTAGCTGTCATGTGGGTGCTGGAAGCTGAATCCAGATCCTATGCAAGAGCAGCAAGTGCTCTTAACCACTGAGCCATATATCCAGCCCTGGATATATTTTTAAAAATTAAAGTATAACCTACATAGTAATATACACAGACTTCAGGGCTTTGAGAGTTTTTGACAATAGTAGCAACACCGAGGTAACCATAGAGAATAGAACTTTCAATCACCCCATTAAGTTTCTTCCTGCCCCTTACTCAGCCCTTTCCCCCTAGAGGCAAGCATATTTCTACTTTTTCACACATTTATTTGTCTTGCCTGTTCTTGCAGCATGTGTCCTTTTGTGGCCTCATGTTCTCATCATGTTCTTTTTGTGCCTCCTAGTGCTTGAGAAGCACAGAACTGGGACCCAGTGGCTTTCTCTCAATTTGCAGTGTCCATAGAACTTAAGACTATCTTCCATGGTTGTGGAGCCCAGGCATGCTCTTTCTGTCTTCTGTCTTTTGCCTTAAGCATGTCACTTGTCTCTGGCCCTGTTTTCTCTTATGTAAGTGAATCTTTTGTGATGCTTCTACAAGGGATTTGTGTGATACTTCGGCAAGGCAAGAGACATGTGTTTCATGTAGGTTGGGGTAATAAATAGGTGCCTTACTCAGACCGGTGTGGGCTCCTTAACAGTTTGCTTATGTTAACAGGTCACCTTTGGCTCTTCAGAGATGCAGGGACTCACGATGGTCTTCTGGTTAACCAAACTGAGCTGTTTGTGCCATCTCTCAATGTGGATGGACAGCCTATTTTTGCCAATATCACACTGCCAGGTATTGATATTCAATCTTTTTTCTTTCTTTTTTTTTGAAATAGGATCTGGCTTTCTAACCCAGGTTCACTAGAACTATGTAGCCTATGCTGGCCTTGAACTTGCAGCAGTCTTCCTGGTTCAGACTAGCAAGTGCTGGGATTACAGTCCTGAGGCACCATACTGGTTCAGTCTTATTTTTAAAAGGTATAGCTGTTTGTTGTAATGAGATAGGTACAGTTACTTGAAAGTACAGGAGGTAGGCAGCATGCCCAGCCTTTTTATGCTCTGTCCTCCACCATAGGTGAAATGGAAGCATTTTATTTATGTGTCCTGTATTGAAAATATGTTGTGTCCAAAAGCACTTTGGGCTCTTAAAAAGTGGGCTAATGCTGGTAGAATTGTGGATGGCTTTTGGTTCCTATGGAATAGATTTGGAATCTCAGACCAAGAGTGACAGTAAGAGCATGAAGCTGAGCCTGGCGCTAAGCTCTGTGATCCCAGCTTCTAGAGAGGCTGGGGTAGGAAGATCACAAGTTGAAGCCCTGGCTAGACTACAGGGTGAGATTAAGGCCAGCCTGAGCAACACAGTGAGACCCTGTCTCAAAAAGTAAAAAGAAGACTGGGATTGGGTGTGGTGGCACATGACTTTAATCCTAGGCATGCATAAATGAGACCCTGTCTCAAAAAAGAAAGAAAACTGGGGATGTAACTCATTGGTAGAGCACTTTCCTAGCCCTGGGTTCAATCCACTATGCTGGCAAAAAAAGTGTATTGTGGCTCTTTTTTTTCTCCTTTTTTGGTCTTTTTGAGACAGAGTCTCCATATAGCCACAGCTGGCCTCGAACTTGCTATGCTTTGATCTCACAGAGATTTCTGTCTCTGCCTCCTGAGAGCTGTGGCCTTTTTCTGAAGTTACTTTTTTTTTTTTTTGGTCTTTTTGAGACAGACTCTCCCTGTAGCCCCAGCTGCTGGAACTCAAGGCCTTTTTTTGAAGTTTCTTTTTTTTTTTTTTTGGTCTTTTTGAGACAGACTCTCCCTGTAGCCCCAGCTGTCTTGGAACTCACTACATAGACCAGGCTGGCCTTGAACTCAGAGATATGCTTGCTTCTGCCCCCTAAGGGTGCCACCATGCCCAGCCCCACACCTAGCTTTTTACATAGGCTTTGAGAATCAAACTCAGGTCATGCTTGCACAGCAAGCACTTCAACTAAGCTATCTCCCAGCTCTATTTTGTTTTTTTGAGAAAGGTCTTGCTCTGTATCCCTGCCTAACCTGGAACTCAAGAGACCAGGTTGATTGAACTTTCGCTATTTCTGCCTCTGTCTCCTGAATGCTATAGGCTTGTACCATCATGCCCAGTTTGTTATTATTTTTAAATTTTAATTTTTGTTTATCTTTTGTTTTTTTTGAGACTAGATCTCACACCATAGCCTATATTGGTTAGTTCAAGAAAAACCCCAGGCCACTTTCAGGAGCTGGGTGTGAGTGCTGTGAGGCATCTGCTGAAGTAACAGTCACATGTGTTCCACTTGTTTGGACCCTCAAGTAGGCTCCCTGTAGTAAATGTGCTCTAGTGGTTGGAGGAGGGTCTGGCTGCTCCTTGCCTCAGGCCTGAGTCTTCACCAAGGACTTGGTTTTCTGCCCTTGTAGTATATACCCTGAAAGAGCGGTGCCTTCAGGTTGTGCGGAGCCTGGTCAAGCCTGAGAACTACAGGAGGCTGGACATCGTCAGGTCACTCTATGAAGATCTAGAAGACCACCCAAATGTGCGGAAAGACATACAGCGGCTGACCCAAGAGCACGTTGAAAACCAGCACTTACAAGAGGAGACTGAAGGATTTAATTGTAATTAGCATTCTTGCATCTCAGTATTTGGTGGTTCTGAGTCCTGATCTACATGTAGGACAGGTCACTTTCCTTCGTTTTCAGTGTTTCATTCTTGGAGTAAAATATACTCCATCCTTCAAAAGAAAGTTAACTGATATCACTGGGCTTTGTGATGTTTAAGGGCAAACATCACAAAGCATCACTGAATCCTTGTCCTTTCTAGAAGCACTCGTGAGAAGAAAGTGGTTGAGTTTTTGCCTCCTGGTAAGTCAGGAAAGCTCCATTGTAAGGATGTTTGTGTAGGTAATTCAGTGAATAGTGCAGTGTGTTCTTTAACACAAGAAAATGGCATCTGCTTTTAGCAGATGGCTATGTGCCAGTGTCCTGCCTTTGGAAGTCTGAGGTGTCCCTGAGGCAGGGACAGGTCTTGCTCCTTTTAGAGGCCCCAGAGCCTAATGTATCATGAGCCTTCAGTCCATGTGTGTTAGATGAACAGTGTTCGGAGGGTCCAGCCTCTTTGTTTAAAGAAAGCCTTAAAATGTACAAGAACACTGTAGAGTTTTGTTTTTAGAAAGCACTTTTTCTAGTTTTCCAAGTTCTTAGCACTTTTCTTTTTTCCATTCTTTTATGGGTTTGTTTTGTTTTGTTGAGACAGTGTCTCAAGTAGCCCAGACTGGCCTCATACTCACTTTATAGATGATGCTGGCCTTGATCTCTTGACCCTCCTGCATCCACTACCCAAGCTTTGGGAGCAAGCGTGTGCTACTACGGCCTGTACTTTCCTTTTTTTGAGACAGAGTCTCATACTGTAGCCCTGATTGTCCTCCAGCTTTCATCAGTCTTCCTCCTTCCTGTTCACTCTTGTACAATACTCCTGTTTACGAACTAGGATGCCTTCCACAGTTAGAGTTTCATAAGTGTTTTCTGTGCACTTGACTTGTACAGAAAATAGAAAAGAGTCATCCCCATAATTTAATTGTAGTTTTGAAGAGCCCCTATGCTGTAAGCTGTTGACAGGAGTGGGTGTTTCTGTCCTTTTTGTAAATCCCTGGCATTTCCATTAGGTTCAACATATTCTGTCAGCAGGACCTGGACACACTTATCACCCAGGGGGAGAAGAGACTAAACATCTCCTCAGCCATACACTCCCAACAGTGGGTTCACAGATCAGCCTGGAAAGGTTCACAGTTTTATGGAGGTCGCATCCTTTTTTAACAGGCTGGATTGAAAGTTGTTAATTCAAATTCATTACTTGTAACTAATATTTTCTTTAAATCTCCCCAGTAGAGAAAAATTTAGAAAAGTCTGAGGGTAGCCAGGGGTGTGGTGGTGCATGCCTTTAATCCCAGGCCAGCCTGGTTCTACATAGTGAAGCCCAGGTCACCTTGGGCTAGAGGGAGACCCTGTCTCCAAAAAAAGACTGAGTGTGATGGCTCACACCACAGAGGAGAGTAAAGGAAAGGGAAGAAGAAAGATCCCTGCAGACTCACTGGGCACACAGCTGCTGTTTGTTGAAGTGTTCTCTTATAGGGCATGTTTGATTGGTTGAACCAGTTTGACATTTTAGATCAGTGTATTCAGTTTGTAGCCTACTTTTTCATTCAACTTTCTAACTCAAATATTTTTCCACATTATAAGCATTGTATAAACACTAGTGCAGTCTTCCTTTTGTAATTAATGTTTGGGGTATTTCTAGACATTGCAGGTTCTTTCAGGCATAATCTGATGCTTTAAGATCAGCACAAAATGTCTGAAATAAATGCTATGTAGTTTCCCTACTGTCCTTTAAATGTTACCTAACCTTCCTCTCCTCCAGAACATTCCATAAACAAAGTAGCTTTCTTCCCCCCTCCCAGCCTCTTGTAGCTCTTATTCAGTGATATTAGATACTATATGTTTGGTTGAAATGTTTGGTGGAGAAACCACCATAGGGTTGGAGAGTTTCACAGGCCAGTGTAGAAGGAGCCTTGTGTGGGGGGAGTCAGCAGGTTTGCAGTATTGTAACACTGAGGCTTTAAAAAATGTATCTTTGTTGGGCTGGAGAGATGGCTCAGCGGTTAAGAGCACTGACTGCTCTTGCAGAGGACCCGGGTTGAATTCCCAGCACCCACATGGTGGCTACAAACCACTCAAACTCTGGTTCCAGGGGAATCTGAAGCCCTCTTCTGACCTCCGCGGTATTGCATGATGGGTGCGCTCACATACATACAGGCAATACACTCATACATGTAAAAGAAAAATAATAAAATATTTTTTAAAAATGTATCTTTGTGTCAAAACAAGATTTAATATTTGTTTCATTAAAACCAGCAGTTTGAATGCTGTGCTTTTTGTATTGTCCAAGGAAGACTGAAGACCTGTGGTGTGAATAATACAATTTTTTTCATTTGGAATCCTGTAAATGTGTTACATGTGTTCATCAGACTGTGATTTTATTTCTGAGTTCTGAAAAAGCTAATTCTTAATACAATAAAGGGTGCTGAGTAAAGGAAACAAGGTGCATTGTATTATTTTTCTTTTTTTTTCATTCTCCATTATTAGTCAAGGTTTATATCAGTTATTTTTTAAATTTTAAAAAAATTTAATAACCGCATGATTAGAAGAAGCATTTCATTACAGCTTTAACATATTCAGTAACACATTCCATAACAAGGATACCTCTCTTTCAAAAGTGGCTGTAAATTTTTAGGTTCAGTTGAATTAATACAGTTATACAATATTGAACTCTGTATAAATCCTATAAGACATAAAATTGAATGAGTTTTTACCCTTTAAAGAAGATCTCCATTTCATTTTAAAATACAC